GGTCTTGTTATACATTGTAATCCACGGTCCCAACTACAAGTTAGATATAGAAGAAATACAACTTCATCAGGAAGCTGGTTGTTGTTTCATAAATAATTATTACTATAATAGTTTGCAAACATTTCAGAGTTTTTTCTATTAACTACATTTATAAAATATTTCATAGCATACATGTACCCATGTAAAGACATTACGTTCACAACTTGATTTACATGCTAAAGCTAAATCAAAAGTGCTCAACTTTAGCTTTACCTCAGTGCCGCCGGTTGTCTGTCTTTAGTGTCGTTGCTTCTGAATATGCTGAAAAAGCTTCCCATGATGCAGGATTTGAACGAAAAACCTGTGGGTTCAAATGTCAGTGCCAGCACAACTCTGAACTCTTCCTTTTTGTTTAAGTATCCTTATTTAACAACTTAGTATATCTCAGTTGTTTACAGATGATTCACATAAATCTTAAATCTAAAGTTAACAAAGGTCTATTAAGAAATTTATCATGACAGATGTAAAAATAGCCTTTCTCTGATACTCTTTAAGAAATCAGAGCCCTTTTTTCTCATTACTTAGATTTTTTTTATTGCTACAAAGCAAATACATGTACAAGCACAACTTACATTAAGTGGAAGTTGTTCAGTCTGTTGAAGCAAAACTCTGTGTGACACTGTCTAAAGCCTGCAGACTGCTGTTCTCTGACTGTATAATACTGCAGGAGGCGTGTCATCTGTTGAGCTATAAAAAGCAACTTGTGGCAGAGCAGTTTTAGCATTCATCTCTCACCTGTGCAGTGACAACAGTGAAAAAAAATGGCTTTAATTCCAGCAGGTAAGACTTATTATTAATCATTGTTTTTTAAATTATTTTCCTAAAGTGTGAAAACTTCTCAGTTTCACTTTGGTTCTTGTAAAACTCTTGTGTACATGGGTTAAATCAAATTAGTCATTTGTGTTTCAGGTCCTGATTTGAGGATTGTGATGATTGGAAAAACTGGTGTGGGCAAGAGTGCTGTTGGGAACACCATCCTGGGATGTGAGCATTTCAGATCTTGCCCTTTATCTGCATCAGTGACTGAGTTCTGTCAAAAAGCTTGGACACAGTGGGGGAAAAGAATAGTTAGTGTTGTAGACACACCAGGGATCCTGGACACTTCAAAATCAGACGAGTTCATCAAAAGAGAAATTGTGAAATGTGTTGAAATCTCCTGTCCCGGTCCTCACGTGTTCCTGTTGGTCATCCAAATCGGCCGATTCACCAAAGAAGAGAAAAACTCAGTGGAAGCCCTGCAGGAGCTGTTTGGCCCCGAGGCAAACAAGTACATGAT